ATACATTTGCCCCACACTGACATTGAACAATTAAGGTCCATAGTACATACTGGAAACTAAGTGTTTGATGAATGACTATGTGATACACTTCTTTTGAGGTATACTTGTTCAGCCAGCCATGAAGCTATCTAATTATGCTATCATCTCGCAGACCTTTCTCCATTCAGGAAATTTCGAGCATGTCAGAGTTGGGCCTACTTCTGACATTTAACCTAATAAATAAAGGCATTCTGCCTTTGCACTACACAGACCAACCTGTTTAATAATTCAGTAAAACAAGAGATCTGCACGCCAGGACTTCAAGAATCCTTGCCAAGTCCTAGTGGCCCCTCCCATCCAGTCCAGTTGTCCTGCCTTTTAAATGGTCGCTCACCAGGCTCTATTTCCTCCTCTTTAAATGAAACTATGTTGTGCACGGACATTACATGCCAGTCAGTCAGGGGTTTCACTCAAGCTGAGAATCTCGCAGGATGGAGGGTGCTGGGCCGAGCAGCCCAGTGGATCGCCCTGACCTTGGAATGCATGTTTAGGACTGTATCAGATTCTAGGCGTGTCTTCCTTTCAGAGCAGTTAGCTGTTATTTATGTGACTTGGAATTGGTCGGGATCATCTCATTTTCCTGTCACTTCTGAAACAAGCTGAATCCATGGTAATGGGTAGGGATTACAGGGATTTTTGAATGATAGCAAAGATAGAAGTGTCTTCCTTTATTAAAGTTTGTTTTTCCTCTCAGAGATGACTGAATCATATGTATAATTTACAATAATAGTCTTTTTAAAGTGTGTTTCCTTAGAGTTTTTGAAGACAGAAAGAACCAGAAGAAAAGAAGCATCTATTATTTAGAACTGTATCAGGTTTAGGTGACCCCAAAGGAAACAGCTGGGTTCTCCGTAAATATTTCTGTATGTACTTAGTCGATGAGTCGTTTCCCACTCTCTCGCGACTCCATGGACTATAGCCCACCAGGCTCCTCTGTCTAAGGGATTTCCCAGGCAAGAATACTGGAGTGGGTTGCCATTCCCTTCACTAGGGGGTCTTTCCGACCCAGGGATCGAACTCAGGTCTCCTGCATTGCAGGTGGATTCTTTACTGTCTGAGCCACCAGGGGAATAACCCTAAATATTAGCTGCTTGTCTCCAAGGCACCATCAGTTCTGTTTGCTCACAGCACCTAGTTTGGTTTCCCAGCGCCTACTCCATTAGAAAAAGGCTGAGATGTTTACTTAGGAGCTTAGGTGTACAGGCTGAGTTTCTCACACCTTGCTGTGCATATGAATCATCTGGGGATTTTGTTAAAATGCAGACTCTGAATCAGGAGCTTTGGGTAGGACCTGAGTCTCTGCATTTCTAAAGCTGCTGGGGGAGCTGGTCTGAGGACCACACTTGGAATAGCAAGGCCACATGCCATTGAGCTAAATTTTAAGGTACTGGTGGAGAGAGAGCTATAAATGTAGATGTGAAGATGCTTAAGATGAATCTATTTAGAACAGTGATTAGGGGGATGGGGACAAAAAAAAAAAGAACAGTGATTAGCAGGCAAATCATATGTAGTAAACCTTATATAAGTTTGTCTTGATCCATCTGTTGACTCCCTGTTCACTTCCCCTTTCCTAATAATAATGTTTAAATGTGATCTGCATGTGTGGCTCTTTGGTAACTTTGCAGTTATGTAATCATGTGCAAGCCCATGTTTCTGTTGCGGCAGGTGCATCCGGAGGCGCACGCCTCCTCTGGGGGACTCAGGTGAACGAACCATTGGTGTGTTTCAGCACTGAAAAGGCAATTAGGGACATGAAGGCCACTTGTCTGCAGCTAGAAAGAAACTCTAAAAGCAGACATCCACTCTCCTTTCTTCATCTCTTCTTCCTAGGCTCTTTCTCTCTCCTTTTTCCCTCCTGTACTTTCCACCTTCATAGTTTATCTCTCCGTTTGTTTTTTTTCATCCCGTGTACCACCATCTGATGTACCAGGGACACAGTGGCATCCTGTGGCGCCCTCTCGTGGTTCTCTGAAAAGATAGCTAGACACAGTCCCTACTCGCACAATGATTTCCCCTGCCGAGAGATACAGACAGCAGAGAGAGCCAGTGAAGCACAGGACAGGGGCACGTGCCCCAGAATTAAGAGACCCAACTCTGTAGCTGCACTGGTAAATAGGAAATATGGTCCTTCTAAATGTAGGAGGGTGAGTTGAAATTTGTATCAGTCTGGCCCCAGGGTTGCTCCAGTTAATCTTTGTATCCTTCACTTATTGTCAGTATTATCTGGAAAAAGATGTTTATCAGTGGACCACTTTTTAGAAGAGTGCATTTGAATTTGTGTATTAAGGCCAATATGTTTTAGTGGTCCATTAGCAGAAAAACCAGCCATGGAATCTATAATGAGATCTTTAAGGCCAACAAAGCCACCCAGTGTCTCTCAAAACAAACAAACAAAAAAAAGTGTAAATAAACCAAGGCACTGCTAAGAACCAAGTCAGCATTGTTTTTTCAAATTCACTAAAGCTGAGTTCTGTTTTAAAAAGTACCTTCAGAGGGGTTTTCTAGTTTTGTGTGTGGTGCATTCCATTGTGCAGCAGTTTTACATTTGCATTGCTAATGGACCTCTTTGCAAACGTGTTTGACATTTTACTTGGCTTTGAAAGGACTTTTATGCTGCTATTTTTTTCTTCCCTAGAGCTGCCTTGGGCTAATTAACCTATTCCCTTACTGGCTGGGCCTACTATATGCAAATACCCTCATTCTGGATTCTGACACACTACTCTTACATGAACATCCCTAATGAAATCCTGTGGGGTTTTATTGGAGCAGCGCTACTGTGGGGCCAGCAGGGGGCGCACGGAGCAGTTCACGTCGAGTCCATCTCCTAAATTACTTTCCTTTGCTAGTCCCAGTGGGAATGCCAGAGTTTATGCAGTTCTCTTCGAGTAAGTTGAAACCTAGAGATAAAAGATCAGTATCAGCACTTTTTAAGCACTCAAAAGGGTCAACTGTTTTCAATTTTGGTAGTTTAATTTTATTCTGTCGTTGGTTTGAAAACAGCACTGTCATCTCAGGAGATTTGTGTATATTGGGTGTAAATTACATGCCATGCACTTCCTAGGAGAAGACTATACAGAATGCAGTTACCTGGGGCTTAATAAAGCCGGAGGTTGGGAGGGTAACGCTGAAAACTGCTGCTTTACTGTGTCTGTTTTAACATCAGACTATAGAAAGCGAGTCTGGGTAGAAGAAATGCTAAAACCCAGGTCCTAGAATTCCCAGAGCCTGATTCAGCAACTTCCCAGGATCACAGCACAAGACTGCTCACAGCCTGTAGGCAGCCGTCACATCCGCCTCCTGTTAGCCTAACTCCTGTTGGTTCCACTGATGATCTGCCTCTTCTCAGGTGGACATCTGTCTGCCTACATAGTCCTGGTAACAGAGTTCGGTGGTTCCCAAAGACTGAGATAGGTGTCCATGAAAACTGGCTCCCTCCTTGTATGTCCAGGTTGAAACACAGAGGCCTGATTGGTCTAGCGGAGGCTTCATCTCTAGGGTTCATGGTGGACTGGCCCTTTCCAAGAAGAAGAGGGTGGAGAGTATGGATGGAAAATTCAAAGAGCACTTGGAAAGGAAGTAAGAGGCAGAGATGAAGCAAGCATGTTGCCCTCATTAAGGACACCCTCAATGCCTGATTATTGCATTTTTAAAAACCAAACCATGTTCCTGTTTTAACTGTCTCATAGAGTCCTTTTGGCTGTTACCATATGAGTAGCTGTACTGGGAGCTGTTTGGAAATGTACAGAGAACAGAATTATTGGGGGCTGCCCCTGCTCAGCTGGCCTGTATATAGTGTCTGTGTTTATATCTGTGTGTATGTGTTAGGCAAGAGAGAACTGTTGTGTATCCAGTATGGACTCAGGGCCACTAGAATCTTTGAGTAGCGCCTATGGCAGAGCTTCCCTGATAGCTCAGCTGGTAAAGAATCTGCCTGCAATGCAGGAGACCCCGGTTCGATCCCTGGGTTGGGAAGAGCCCCTGGAGAAGGGAAAGACTACCCACTCCAGTATTCTGGCCTGGAGAGTTCCAAGGGGTCGCAAAGAGTCCTAGAGGACTGAGCCATTTCCACTCTCACTTTCACTATGGCAGAGGAGGACTCAGATACCCTGTGAAATCCCCTGGGGACTTCCGTTCCTAACCTGGTCCTCTCAGTGCTGGCTCAGAGGACGGCTGATACTCACTGGTGCCATCCTCCTTGTGGGCTGCATCTGATCCTCCAGAGACTGGGTAAACATAGAGCTGACGAGTGGGAGGGCCACTTCTGGGAGGGAAACTGAGAAATGCATTGTTTGCCCTCCGAAAAGAAAGTGAAGTCGCTCAGTCGTGTCCGACTCTTTGCGACCCATGGACTGTAGCCCGCCTGGCTCCTCCGTCCATGGGATCCTCCAGGCAAGAATACTGGAGTGGGTTGCCATTTCCTTCTCCAGGGGATCTTCCCGACCCAGGGACTGAACCCACGTCTCCCGCATTGCAGGCAGATGCTTTAACTGCTTTAACCAGGGAAGCCCAACAAGAAAATGGGGGGTGGGGGAGAAGAGGACATTGAGAGAGAGATCTTAGAAGACTTATTAAATCCATAAAAAAGGTTTGACTTGCTCCATGCCTTAATGATCTTCCCGATGTCCTACCCAACACGGCCAGCGTTTCACCTGCTCTAATAGTGGGGCTGGCGGCAGGATTTTGAGGGATTCACATGAAATCTCGCGGGAGGGTGTTCTTTTCCGGTGTTGATGTTCTGACGCCCTGTCCCCCCCACCCCCACCCCTCTCCCCCTTGGTCCCGACCCTCTGCCTTTTCCCAGATTCCAGAGCAGCTGCTGGAGGATCGCACCCACGGGGAGATGATTCCTCATGAAGAGCCTGGATCCCCTACAGAAATCAAATGTGACTTTCCGTTTATCAGACTAAAACCAGAGCCAGTCCGACAGTGAAACGGTCACCGTGGAGGGGGGACGGCGAAAAATGAAATCCAACCAAGAGCGCAGCAACGAATGCCTGCCTCCCAAGAAGCGCGAGATCCCCGCCACCAGCCGGCCTTCCTCGGAGGACAAGGCGGTGCCCAGCGACAACCACCGCGCGGAGAACGCAGCATGGCTCCCCGGCGCCCGGAGCCACGTGGGCGGGCGGCTGGGGCCGGCGGGGCCCCCAGCGGAGCTCGGTTTACAGCAGGGAATAGGTTTACACAAAGCGCTGTCCACGGGGCTGGACTACTCTCCGCCCAGCGCGCCCCGGTCCGTCCCGGCGGTGGCGTCCACCACGACGATGCCGGCTGCATACCCGCCGCCCCCACCGTCCGGGGCCCCGGTGTCCCCGGTGCAGTACGCCCACCTGCCGCACACGTTACAGTTCATCGGGTCTTCCCAGTACAGCGGGCCCTACGCCGGCTTCATCCCTTCCCAGCTGATCTCGCCCACGGCCAGCCCGGTCACCAGCGCGGTGGCCTCGGCCGTGGGCGCCGCCACGCCCGCCCAGCGCTCCCAGCTGGAGGCCTATAGCAGTCTGCTGGCCGACATGGGCGGGCTGAGCCGAGCCTCCGGACACAAAGCTGAGCCGCCGCCGCCGCCACCGCCGCCGCAGCACCTAGGCCGGACCGCGGGGCTCCTCCCCCCGGGGTCCCCACCGCCCCCGCAGCAGAGCCAGTACGTGCGCATCTCCAGCTCGCCACAAAACGCCGCGCGCCCAGCCTCGCCGCCGGCCCTCCCCGTCCACCTGCACACACACCCGACCATGATCCCGCACACGCTCACCCTGGGGCCCTCCCCGCAGGTGGTCGTGCAGTACACCGACTCCGGCAGCCACTTTGTCACCCGCGAGGCCACCAAGAAGGCGGAGAGCAGCCGGCTCCAGCAGGCCATGCAGGCCAAGGAGATGCTGAACGGGGAGGTGGAGAAGGGCCGCCGGTACGGGGCGCCCCCCGCGGCCGACCTGGGCCTGGTGAAGGCGGCCAGCAAGGCCGTGCCCCACCCGTACGAGTCCAGGCACGTGGTGGTCCACCCCGGCCCCGCCGACTACAGCGTCCGCGACGCGTCGGGGGTGCGGGCCTCGGTGATGGTCCTGCCCAACAGCAGCACCCCCGCCGCCGACCTCGAGGGGCAGCAGGTCACCCACCGGGAGAACTCGCCGTCCGCCCTCAACGACAAGAGCAGCCTGCACTTGGGGAAGCCCGGGCACCGCTCCTACGCGCTGTCCCCGCAGCAGGCGCTGGGCCCCGAAGGCGTGAAGGCCGTCGCCACACTGTCCCCGCACACGGTCATCCAGACCACACACAGCGCCTCGGAGGCCCTCCCGGTCGGGCTGCCGGCCACGGCCTTCTACGCGGGCACGCAGCCGCCGGTCATCGGCTACCTGAGCGGCCAGCAGCAAGCGATCACCTACGCCGGCGGCCTGCCCCCGCACCTGGTCATCCCGGGCACCCAGCCACTGCTCATCCCGGTGGGCAGCGCTGACCTGGAGGGGTCGGGCGCCGCCTCGGCCATCGTCACGTCGTCACCCCAGTTTGCTGCAGTGCCTCACACGTTCGTCACCACCGCCCTGCCCAAGAGCGAGAACTTCAGCCCTGAGGCCCTGGTCACTCAGGCCGCCTACCCGGCCATGGTGCAGGCCCAGATCCACTTGCCCGTGGCGCAGTCCGTGGCCTCCCCCGCCGCCGCCGCGCCCCCCACGCTGCCGCCCTACTTCATGAAAGGCTCCATCATCCAATTGGCCAACGGGGAGCTGAAGAAAGTGGAGGACCTCAAGACGGAGGACTTCATCCAGAGCGCGGAGATCAGCACCGACCTGAAGATCGACTCCAGCACGGTGGAGAGGATCGCGGACAGCCACAGCCCCGGCGTCGCCGTGATCCAGTTTGCCGTCGGGGATCACCGAGCGCAGGTAACATTGCGTCCGCATCACGCAGGTAGGGGGACACCACGCCGTGCCACCTCCCTTACCTCCTGGCACTGTGACTTTCTTCCAACCGGCAGACCTGTCTGCAGCTGTGGGGGTGACTGAGGGTTTTCTTTCACTTTCACTTTGTACCTAAAGGTTAGACTTCTCACATTACCCCCAACCACCGTTCTCTTAAGAGAATTAAGCCCTAATGCACCCCGAAGCATTCGCTGTTTGTAATGAATTAATTTCTCAGCTTCTCCAATGGGGGCTGGTCAGGTACCATGCTTGGGACAGTTAAGAAGATCACCACTCAGGTTATTTTGTTGATGATGTTCTGTGGTTTAGATGAGTAACCCTGATTAAGAAAAGCCATTTTCCACCTCCACTCCCTCCCCCCCCTTTTTTTTTTCGGTCAGGAAAAGACACTGCTGGTTCAGGGGAGAATGTTAGGTGCCCAGAGTTGCGATATCCCATTACAACAGTGTTGTAATAACAAAATAACAGTGTTTTGTTATTGTTTTTATTTATTTATTTAACTTGGCTGTGCCGGGTCTTAGTTGCAGCACTCGGAATTTTTGACCTTTAGTTGTGGCATGTGAACTCTTAGTTGCAGCATGTGGGATCTAGCTCCCCGACCAGGGGTCGAACCCAGGCTCCCTGTATCAGGAGCTTGGAGTCTTAGGCGCTGGACCACCAGGGAAGTCCCAACATCCATGTTTTAACGTGTAGGTTTTGTTATCATTTAGGTGTGGTGAGGCCAACAGAGGAGAATACATCTGCCATTGAAAAGGTGGTGTGTTATACTCAGATCCCAAGAAGAGGGGATATGCCAGGCCACGTGGGCTGACGTGTGGAAGCAGCCCAGGGTCTGTTACAAGGCACTAGAGGGAAGGAGAAAACGTGGACAAGAGCCCTTATTGTTGTTTCTGTGGGAAGAAGTGGGTGAGGCAGGGCAGCAAGCGTAGGTTTGGCTAGTTGGAATCATTTCAGCAGGCTCTGGGTACAGGAGCTGATCCTAAGTGTCTGATAGTGACCCAGAGAGTGAAAGTCCCATTCAGTGAGGAGGAAGCTCGAGTGTGGGTGTTTTCTTTGCAGGTGAAGAGCATTTTCCCCGGCAGGGGCGCTATTAGCTATGTCTAGGAATTAGCTAACCCAGGGAGGGACAGTCTCTCCAGTTTCAGCAAGACCCCAAGATATCAAAGCATCAGATACAGAGAATAAAAGGCCTGGTTCATATAATCTGGAAGGTCCCAGGTGATCTCCTGGACTTCTGATAAATAGGAGCCCCAAGGGCCAGATGCAGCCAAGCTGAGTCATGTTAAAACTGGAACCGTGGTCAGCTCTTAATTTCCATGCGTTCCTCCAGTCCACTCTTTTCCAGCTTCTTAAATCACTTGAATGCATTTATTCCGCATTCATGTGTATGGAAACGGCAGTTTCACTGCCCAACTTGCTTGAAGTCAGGTTTGGCCCCCCGGGGGGAGCTTCCCAAGCTATAGAGCCTCAGTGCCTCTTGGAATGGGATATGACAGCACCTCCTTCAGTTTGAAATGAGTTGAAAAATGGTCAGGGCGTAGCTGGTATTTGGGACAGTCAAAGATAAACAAACTAGTTAATGGTTTGAATTGTTTTTAGAATATTTTTAAAAAGATCAAGTGAGGTGGGGGAGTCTGATTTTCCAAAGCGTTTTCCAGGACTGCTTGTAAATGTCCGGATGTGGGATCTTGCACAATATCAGAGGGCCTGCGTTGCCAGAATCTTTTAGCCCCAAAGACTTTTCTTTTTAATGGTGAGATGTCGCTGTGAACTTTGGTGAGGCCGAAGAAAAATTTCTCAGGGTTCTGATGCCAAAAAAAAAGCGCAAAAATCAGGATATTTGGAAAAGGGCATCATTATGTAGAACTCCCTACCCATGTCTGAGTTTCTGCTCCCTATCCGCATCCTACATGGATTATGAGTGGATGGATCCTCATTGAAAAAAGAATGAGCTGACTTACTAGCAAAGTTGTCTTTTAACAGACCCCAAGTGAAGCCTGGGAAATAAAAAAGAAGGAAAAGTAAATGTGTTTTTTTTTTTTTTTCATGATCCTTGTAATCCTTAAAGCAATACTGTGAACAGAAGTAAGCAGAGGAAGAGGGGTTATTTTGAAATGCAACTATCTCCTGCCCAGCACCTCTTTTCAGCTTTCAGTAAAGAACAGCTCTGAGCTGCAGGCTCATCTCCAAGGCAGCAGGAGCCCTTACAGACCTCTAGGTTCCAGATTGACTGGCAGTGCGGAGGGAGGTAGCATCTCTGCGTGCTCGTCCCGCCCGATCCTCTGCAGAGCGAATGCTTAAACGATCGGCTTCCATGTGTGAAGTCTCATTTCCTTCCCGTCGCCAGGCCACCAGTCTCTTTACTGACGGCCAAGGTGCAAATGAGAAGGTAGCGGGTTTGTCAGGGCCTGTTTACAGGCCTGTCAGGCCGCCCCTGTGTGGCCCGGCCGCCCCCTGGGAAGGACTCAAAAGGGTGGCTGGGGTTCCAAGCTGCAGAAACACAAGTGCAGGGCCCGGCACGCCAGTGATGTGTCACTTTACCCAGAAGCCTATCAGAAACAGGCTGACATCATCCCAGCTAAAATACTCCACCAGCTGTGTTTGCCACAAGTGACGGGGGAATCAGAGAAAGGGAGCGGGGAGAGGGGCGGGCGAGAGAAGGAAGGTCCGGATTTAATTTACACTCTTAAGGGCTGAGGGCCTCCCTTCCTCCCCAGGGGGCTCTCTGAGGGGTTTTCTCCCCTGGCCTGGAGATCCCCTCTCGGTCTTCTCAACCGATTAGAAATCTCTTTAATACTTGCACCCATTAGGGAGGTTGAGAGATGTGCAGAGCATTTTCACTGAATTAGCCAAATCATGGATTTGACTGGGGAAGTTGTGGGAGGAAGGGGGTAGTTTTCTAAAGGATGGATGGCTTTGTGACCCCTGGCGTAAATCCTGCATGGAAGCAGGACCACAGGGACGCTTGACTTCATAACCTACCCCGGGCGTCCCGGGTGAATGCGGTGTGGCTGGTGGGAGAAGCCCCGAGCCTGGGGTCTGGGCGGCAGTAGGAGGAAATGGTCCCACCTTTCTCTGAGCTAGAGTTTTGCTAATCACTAAAATGGGCAAATGATTCTTTATATGAGATCATATCCTCAGCATCCTCTTGGTTTTTGTATTCCTTTGTTTTCCTGCCATGCAGAACAGCACTTGTAAAATTTACTGGCACCCACTAAGCAAAAATAAAATAATAAAAGGGGGGAGGGGATATACAGGGAAAGTTACCTGACTTCATGCTAATAGCATATAGATCAGTGAGAAGGAAAGCCACCCTGTATAGAAACAAGGGGATTTTCACTGAGGGATTATTTTTAGGAGCCAAATTCCTAATTATTATTGTGATAAGAGACCTCCAGGGTGGTGGATCTGAAGCTTCGTGTGAGGCAGTGTAGGAGAAAAAAGCTTTTGCATATTCGTCCCCACCCCTGTAGTTTCGTCATTCCCAGAGCAGTATTCCTTGGCCCAGGCAAAGTGTCCTTGCATCCCAGTTTTCCCAGGCTGGTTCTCCTCTAGGAGAATTAAAGGGGCATCTCAGGCATTGTCTGTTAGCCTGTGTGCACCACACGAATCTTCTCAGTAGTCACCCATGGTCTCCTGAGTCTGTGGTGAGCCCAGAGGGGATCCTGAGATGATAATAAAATCCACATGGGAGCCAGTGTGATTCAACTGGAGGGCAGAGCATCGTCTGCTTGGGTGGGAAGCAGGTTAACTGGTCAGAAAATGCAAGACCTGGAGCTGAAAAGACCCGAGGCTGAATCTGTCCTCCACCACCGGAGCTTTGGGACTTGGTGCACACACGCTTCACGGTGCAGATGACACATGCACCCTCCATCCAGCTCGTGTTGTAGTGTGAAGAATGAAAGTGGTTGTAAGAATGAAAGGAAAGTGAAGCCAAAGTGTTAGCCACTCAGTGGTGTTACTCTGCAACCCCATGGGCTGTAGCCTGCCAGGCTCTGTCCATGGAACTCTCCAGGCAAGCATACTGGAGTGGGTTGCCATTTCCTTCTCCAGGGGATCTTCTCAACCCAGGGGTTGAAACTGGGTCTCCTGCATTGCAGGAGGATTCTTTACTATCTGAGCCACCAGGGAAGAAAGGAAATTTGCTCAAAAGAACCAGTTCAGTAGGTGGGTAGTAGGCCCTCAGCAGTGTTAGTTTTACTTCCTTGCTTCCGCTTGGGTGGGACTTTGACCCTGAGAAGAGAAAGGTTAGGTCCTGAAAAGTGAATGAGTAAAAGGCTTCATGCTCTTACAAGAGCTTTTGGAAGGAGGGCCAGTTTAGCAAAGTCTGGAACGAAGGCTGAACTTCTCCAGTGAGCCTCATAAGCCATTTCACTCTGCCTGTGTTCCTGCGGCATATTCCCTAGGAGAGGTCCAGGAGTATCCCTCGCCATCACTGTTTCTATGAAGGAAGGTCCATGATCTCACGCTGGCCTGTGTGCACATAACACTGTCTGCTTTTCCTGAGTGTGAGCTGGACTGGAGGGGTCATTTGACGGTTGAGCCCTGCACATCAGTGACCAATGAAGAAATGGGGGCTCATGCACCTCTCCTTTGCAGAAAGGATCCGGGCACCTTGCCCACTGAGGGACCCCCGGCCCGGGACGGCCCCCCTGGGGAGCCCTGGGCTTCCATCTCTGAGCAGCCGCCGCACCCCTCCGTCTCATGCTTCCCAGGCTCGACTTTTCTGAAGAGTGTTCGACATTTTGTCAGTATGATCGCAGGACATTTTCTCTGTGATGAGGCTGCTTTTTTCCCTTAGCGCTGGGCCCTGTGTCTCGTTAGGGCTGTCTGTCGCCTCCCAGAGTCAGGAGCTGCCTGCCTCCTTTTATCTCCTCGGTGGCAGCTTAATATTCCGTGTCATTTTCTTCTCCCAACTCGTGTGTCTGTGTGTGTGCGCGCGCGCGCATGTGCTTGTACGCACA